AAAATATACCGAAATGACCTTTTTTATGATTTTTTGGGCGTTTTAGCAGGTTTTTCAATTAAAAATTTACAAAATTATTTCGTCACAAATCGCTAAATTTACTCAAAAATGATGTTATTTTTCCTTTTTTAGATTGTGCCAAAAATTTTGTTCAAAAATAATACCATTTTTCCGTTTTAGGACGTTTTTTAGTAAGAATCGCAATTGTTTTGAAAATTTTCGTCGAAAATGAGGTAAAAAATGAATAAACTATCACAATAAACTATCACAAAACTAAAATTATTTTTGCTTCTGTGGAGAGTTTAAGCATGTTTTTGAGCCGAAAAAAATCATCTGGTTGCTCTTCCAAACGTTTTAGCAGATTTTTCGATCAAAAGCACAAAACTTCGTCAAAAATAAGCCGAAAAATCACATAATTAATTCGGAAATAATGTTATTTTTGCTTTTTTCAAACATTTAGTTGCGTTTTTAAGTCTAAAACAAAGTTTTTTCTTTGATTTTTGCTAAAAAACTTACCAAAATTAATACATATACCAGACTAAATAGAAATGGCATAATTTGAGCTCTTTTCGAGCGTTTTAAAACATTTTTCAATAAAAAACACAATTATTTCGCAAAATTTTGTCAAGAATACGTCGGAAAGTAATTGAATTAAATAAAAATAGTGTTATTCGTGATTTTTTGAAACATTTATTTATTATTATTTATTTATTTTTGAAACATATTTTAACACTTTTATCCACTGTTTATTCAACAATCCAAGTTGTACATAACGCCTTTAGAATTTGGTAATTTCATTCCTAATAGAAACCAACACTTAAAAGTCTTTTTCAATAAAAAAATATTGGGAAAAAAAATTGTTTTACACCTTTATCCACTCTCCCCTTCAATTGGGAAACATGAATTATTTTAACTGTTGCCAACTTAAAACCTTGCCTGTTTAAAACAACTGTTTTATTAAAAAACATTTCATTTATTTTGGGTTTTGGAAACAATAAATTTGTTCAACAATTAATTACAATAAAGAAACTTATTTTAAGTCTGTCTCTAACTAATATTTTCACAAAACATGGAAATTAGCGGAAATTGTAATGCAAATAGGTCTAAAAAATATTATAACTGGTTTCCTATCACCAGTTGAAATTTACAATTTACGCGGATTTAGCAAGTGCAATAAATTTTTATGTTAAGAAACACTTTCGATTGTGTGATTATCTGTTTATTTTAAGATAATTGATGACAAATATGGATTAACAAAGAAAATAAATAACTGCTTGTAAGTATGTATATTTAACTGAAAAATGATAAATTTACGAATTTAAAACAAAGAGCTTAGAATGACAAACTTTTTTTTTGATAACTTAATTGAAATAAATTAAAGTTGTCAAGTATTTTAATTTAATTTAATACCAGGCGACACGGCACCCGAACGATAACAATAATACCTGTATTCTACGTAGTTAGTTATTTGTTTATTATAATTTATCTAAGGAAATGCAAAAAGTGCTTTATCAAAGACACTCGTCTCCTGCGTTCGCCAAAAAAGTGAAATTCCAAAGGGCAAAATATTGACATTGGCAATAGTGTTGAGAAAGTGGCGAAAGCGAGAGAACAAAGAAACAACATTGCAGAAATGGATCGATCGGTTGCAATGAATTTAACCAACTTACTTGATGGCTTTGCAGTTTTCTAGCACTTTTTTCTTCTCCCATCCTTCTTGTGTTTTGACCCAGACTTCCCCCGGTGACCGCCAATCCTTCGATATAAAAGGCATTATTTTTTAATTGGTTCAGCCAAACAGCTGATGTAAATATACACAACACTTTGACAGTCACTCGTTGGATTATGAAAACACTATTCTGGGTTCTGCGCAATCAGCTGATTCTCCAGCAGGAGAATGTGCGCATGGTCGCGTCGTTTCCTGCTGCTGGTTCAAAATTGAACCATGTGTTTTTGTTATGGCGAAGCGAGTTGATTAGTCATTAAACATTTACTTTTAGCGTAGTTCGTTCACCTTGCTTTTCAACTGAAGTAGGTGGAACACTCACTGCGTCTTCAAATTTAATAATAACCCAGGAAATGTTAAATACTTGCATAAACGACCAGAGTTTTACATTAAATTCAATATAAAGGCATTTATAAAGTCATGTCATTTAATGTTTCCTGCAAGGTTAGTGCAGAGGAGAAGAATGAACTATACAGCTTTCAGGGTTTTGACTTTTATTGAGTAATTGTAATTAGCTCTTTGATATAACTAAGTAGTAGAAAGTAAAAATTATTTAACGTGAGTAATCCACTTTATTACCACATAATTAACAAGTACATGCCTGTTACTAATGCATAAAAATATAAAAAAATTAAAAATATACAAGGTGTCTCAGAGAATTAAGAAAATCCATTAGTGACCTTTAAATGGTAAAATTGAAAAAAAAAATTATCTAGGACATTGATAGATACTAATCTAGTCTATGCTTCTTAGCGTTTTTAGATGTAGTTTTTATGACAATATTTTTAAGCTGAACTTTTTTTGGTCGATTTTGCTTAGTTTTAAAAATAAGACGGTTTTTTTGACAAAAACATGCACTTTTTAAAAATTTATTACACAAAAACTAAGACATCTAGAAATATTTTTTTTACTACCGCAAAGAAGAAGGTACAAGCTACAAGGATGTAACATTTTTTAGTGTGATGCATTTGCAAAGATAAAAAAATGAAGGCGTTTGTTAAAAGTTCAATAACTTAAAAAAATTAAATGGAACACCTTATTTATTGTTTTTGCATTTAAAAGATTATTAAATTGTCTTTTAAAAATTATTTACTTTTAGTTCAATAACTAAAAAGATATTTAACGTTAAACATTAAAAAAAATTACTATTGTTTCAGTAGCCAAAAAGTGCACAGTTGCACAAGAGATGGAAGAAATATCACTTAATAATCACATTTGTGTTAAACTGAAGCCATTATTCTTTATTTTTATAATAAAATAATTCGAATTTCAATATTTATAAAGACTTTTGTTGGTTCAATTAATTTTGGATGTTAATTACCTTTTCATTTATCAATTCTAAACATTAAAAGTTATTTTTTTTAGATAGACAATTTATCAATCTATTAGAGGCAAAAATAA